TATAGAACAGTGGAAAAATACAATCTCAGTTCAAGTTTACTGTGTCCTGAAAAATCAATTTGGAGGAATCTGTTATACATTTCAAAGGCAAGGTAGTCACTTTGCAATGAGCACTCCTGGATTTTGAGTGTTATTTCACTAAAGGTATTTTACATTACAGTATATGATCCAAACTACAAATAGAAAATAGCAAAACATAAATGTCCTAGAATTTTACAATTCTTAAGGGCTGTTTTATGTGCCATGAATAGAAATAATGATGTTGTTTAATGAAGTAATTTTACAACCTAGAGAAGACAGAGCCTCGGGCACTAAGCCATTTGTCACACATGGTCTCCTTGGGCAGTCTCTCCTAGTCACTAGGACTATTCTGTACTTGGAGTCCTAGCTGAATGGAAGTCACTTGGGTACAATCACTTCATCACTCGAGATTGCTTTCTTTTATAGAAGCTCAGACACTAGAATGGCTGTTCTGAAAGTCAAAGGCAGCTATGATCTGTCATTATACCCCAAAGTCCCTGGTATTCCTGGGAGGAGAACCCTACCATCATGTGAATGTTATTCCATAGACACCGTGTTCTCCAGATATTCTAGATGCAATTTATTATTACTAGGTGCTCACTGAAGCATCTTTAGAAAGAAAGAGATGCCAAATTCATTAGCACAAGGTATGTGACTAAATATAAGACTCAAGACTCAATTACTTAGTCTTGAGCGAGCTATTTTCAAGTCAACAGAGCTGTTACCAAATCATGTTCCTTCAAAAAGCTACCACTGGATGTCTTCAAAGTATGAATGTAGAAAGAAGAATTTTTCCCTCTGATTTCTAACGTCCCGCAGTTATTTGGACTATTATATTGAAGTGTTCTTCAGAACAGCATAGGAACCCAGCGGTGCCAACAGAAAGCACAGCCACCGATTTCTCAGCCTCCCTCCTGTGTTTTTGCAGCTTCACATCTTTGATGTAAAATGTTACTTGAGAGTCTCATATGAAAAACACTCTCAGATTTATTTGCTTTTTAATATTATGAAATTGCAACAGAAATTGGATTGGTTCTTTATAGGACCCTGTGCTCATGAAGTTAAGCTTTAAGGGGTTGAAAACTCTTTAACAATACTTACACAGATTAAGTATTTCTAAATAACATCATGGCATAGATGAGGCCAATGGACTATAATTTTGTGCTTCAGTAATTGTTTCTAATATTCCTGTTTTTAACATTTTTCTTTGACATAGTACTCAGATGCATTGAATAAATGAAGTATACCAAGAACGTTGTCCTGTTTCTTCCCCTATTTCTGCATAATTGTGCTAATATACTAGCTAGGGCAGTTATATTTAAAATGGTATGTATATATTTAGCAGCATAATTATGCAAATTCTGTGTTTATGATTGTAAATATCCTTTAGGAGCAGTTACTTAGCATGTAGTCCTGAAACAATTTTTGAAGAATTCTGGTTAAAATGTTTAGAATTCACTCCTGAATTAACTTCTCTGTTGTGTGAAGGTGGGCCTTACAGTTCACATTTGCAAGGCAGAATAGTGCACAGTGGTAAACAGTATGGAATATGTAGAATTCTTTAATAGTCCTGGACATTTTATGCCACTTACTGGCTTTGCGGCCTCGGGCAAGTTACTTAACCTCTCTGAGCCTCAGTTTCTGCATCTGTGAAATGCAGATGACGATAGTACATACCTCCCTGGGTTGTCACGATGATTACATCATATAATGTACAGAAACCACTTCGCATAGTGCTTGGCTCATAAAAGGCTCTCAACAAATGATAGGTGCCATTCACCTCCTTCCTACACATCCCCCAGGAATGCTACATGTCAGCCTAGTTACCAAGATATCTAAAAGAGTTCAGGGCCAGATTCTGAGCTGTCCTTGGAGGAGGAAGTATGGCATGAGCTCCACCCTTGTCACTTTGTCCATGTAAGAAACAATGGGGGAAGCACATAGGAGTGCTGAGGACAAAAGTTCCAGACTCAAGTTCTTTTGACCAGAGAATTATTCTTCACCTTTGACATGTGTCTGAGTGGAGTTAGCAGGGAGTGTTTAGGTCTTTCAGCAATAGTGACTCTAAATGTAGACAGAGAGAGAGAGAGAGAGAGAGTGTGTGTATGTGTCTGTCTGGGGGTATGTGTACGTGTGTCTGTTTCGTGTGTCATGTGTCTGTGTCTTTGTGTGTCCATGTGGTATGGGTGTGTCTCTGCGTGTCTGTGTGTCTATGTGCAGGTCTCTAGGAAAAGAGAATCTAACCAGCACACATATAACCAAGCACTCCAATTCCACCCTCCGGAGATAAGCTGATTACAGGTGGAGAGTCACCTTGGCAAGATGTATCAGATAAAATTCTTCCTCTGCTATTTCACATTATGGGGAACGAAAAATGTGAACATGTAACATTACATTCATAACTACAATCATACGTCAGAACACAGTGGTGATAATGACAGTGTATTTTAGGCGAATATTCATCTGTTTAGTCAGTTTTTCTTATATTTGTTAAACTGGTAAGAGAATAATTTAGATTTTCTAAAAAGGTTCTCTAACATGTAAAACTCAAGTCCATAGAATTTTCTGAAATTTTACAAAATGGAAGTCTCTGAGGTTGGCAGATCTTTTTTAAAAAAAAGGGAGTGGAGGCCCTAAAAGAATACCCATAGCACCAAAAGCTAAAATCCTTCAAGATTTTGATCCCATACAGAGATGACTCCACAGGTCAGCAGAGGGTTTGTTTTTTTCTCTCCGTAACTAAATCTCTTGAAAAGTGAGGCTCAAGGATGTACATTAAGTTGTGTATGTGTGGTAATTACATGGGTGACATTGAGCTAGGTTCTAGAAAGAAGGCGCACACCATCTTTGGTTGGCCAAAAATTTTGATAATTTCAGCACTACTCCCAAAAGAATATTACATCTAAACTAATCTACCTTCATGCAAATTCAGGTTTTTACCATCCAAGAACCAGGGTGGAAACAGTTCACTATGATCATGGCAAAATCAACTCCTGATGCTCTTCCATCTACAACAGGTCAGTGTGGGAGGCAGGGGGATGAGGGGGAGGATGGATTCTGGCTCTCAACATTATATGCAGGAGACAGATTGTTTTTACGGTTTCCTGGACTAAATTCTTGCTCCTGTCAGTTCCATCCCCTCAGTGACATACCATTTTCCAACCAGCACCTCACAGCCCACCAAAGGGGACAAGTGTGTTATCCTTTCTGTGAAGTATGCAGCACAGGCTTCCAAGACTTATGGCACATCTTGGTAGATTCCTCTCCAGATGTCACAATGGTTTGCTCCAATGAACCACTACGAATATTTATCCTATACCCTTTAGCTGTCTGTAGTGATGGGAAGAGTCCCTTTCTTTGATGCTTAGAATTTCACTTCATGAAGACTTCGAAAAGGAGAGAATGAATACTATTTTCTAATTCTTATATTTTCTTAGTCCTGCATCATCAAGCCAGTTACTGTTGTTGTTATTCTAACTACATGAGAGAGGTAGAACTTTTTGTTTCATTAATGATCCCAAAACTTTCATGTTCATTCTCTTTCCATCTCCTGAAATCTTTCTGCTATGATATTCCCAGTAACTGAATAAATAAGAAGGGATTGCCCTTTCATAATAAAACTGTGCTAAAGAGGACTTCAGGACTTTCTGACTTGTGTGTGAAAATAGTAAGGTAGACAGGTCACATTCCATTCACAATTTTGGCCTTCTTTTTATATGGTATGTAACAGTAAGTGATATTGACATTGTTTAGTGAGAAGCAGTGGTTCTAATAAGGTATTGAATAACTGAGTATCTGGACATCTTATTTGTCTTTTTTCTTTTTGACACGAAGTCTCACTCTTGTCGCCCAGGCTGGAATGCAATGGCGTGATCTCAGCTCACTGCAACCTCCGCCTCCCAGGTTCAAGTGATTCTCCTGCCTCAGCCTCCCGAGTAGCTGGGATTACAAGTGCCTGCCACCATGCCTGGCTAATTTTTGTATTTTTAGTAGAGACGGGGTTTCACCATGTTGGCCAGGCTGGTCTAGAACCCCTGACTTCAGGTGATCCACCCGCCTCGGCCTCCCAAAATGCAGGGATTACAGGCATGACCCACCGCACCCGGCCTGGACATCTTATTTTTCATACCCCTTAATTCATATATAACAATAGGTAGCAGCATGCTTACACATCTTTTGGACTCAATTTCTTTGGCTAGATTTTTATGATTATTTTGTTGACTTCTTTCAACCAATTCAGGCTAGAGAAATTTCCTTTATCAAAATTAGCTTTTCTATTACTATATGAACTTTGGAAGGTTTTCAATATAGAGTAGGAAGCATCTGAACTGGTAAATTATAAAATATATCTATTTAAAAAGAAATTCAAATCCCCAGAGAGTCTTTCACTAGAAAAATTTTGCTGATTTCAGCACCACTCCTAGATAAGTACTAAATCTAAGCCATTCCATTTTCATGCAAATTCAGATTTTTATCCTCTTAAAAAATAGACACATTCTTTCCACTTCCCACAACCAGATGAGAACACAAAACTGTATTCCACAAGGAAAAACACAAACTGCTATTTCCAACAGTTAAAACTGAAAACCACTCCTTATTTTCAGCAGTAGCAGATCAATTATTATGACCTTTTGATCTTTTCATCGGGCTTCTGCTAATGACAATTTTCTTCCAAATTATTCAGATTTATACAAACGATAATGCTGTTAGATGCATGCTCCAGAGGCACAAGGGACTGATTACTATTGTTGGTGCACCTGTCTTCTTGAACATGGCTTCATGGCTGTAACCTCTGCCAGTTTAGAAACTCTTTGCAGACAACGGTGGCTTTGACACCTCTGTAACCCCTACAGCATCCACAGGGCATGCTGCAGAGATGGGTGCTCAGACATTTATTCTGTCAGTTTGACCCCTGTAGAGCAGCCCATAGTGACACATGGGCCCAGGTACCACCCTCGGTCACCCTCACTGCACCTTACCTGGTCTCTCTGTCTTTGGGTATCGTTGCCGTGCTGTAAGCAAAAACTTGCTTCTCCACTAGAGGAGGGCCAAGGTCCACAAGGCTGGATAATCCTGCAGTGCTCCGTGGCTTTTCTATATACACCAAGGTGCCTGGCTCCTTTTTAAAGGCCTGGCGGCTCGGTGAGGCCCGGTCTGGCTGCATGGTGTGAGGCGGCCCGTGGGCATTATAGTGAGCGTGCATGTCTATCATCCTCAGGTCACTGACTCTGTGAGGAGAGGCAGGGGGCGTTTTGGAGCCCAGTGTAGGCAAATGGCTATCTGGATATTTCCTTGATTTCTGTCTGTACAGTGATTGTTCCATATGCATTTCTGCTTGCATTGAAGGGTTACAATAAGCACTCGCTGACCGGATGGCGGTGCGGTGATATGCAATGATGTGGTCAGGGACATCCAGTGGGTGTCCACCATGGGATGAGGCTATGCTCATCCGTCCCTCGTGATAAAGGTAAGGATCAGCATAGAAACCCTCATTTCTGTACATTGCAATGTTTTTCCCACTCATGTCTTCATCCGGCTTGACATCTCTTCTTTCTAAAATGGCGCTTGGGCTTGGAGAGATGGGTCTGGAGACTGGCAGGCTGGAGATTCTGTCCCTGGGGATGGTGGCATTGCCAGGAACAACCATGGAGCGGGTGCCCCCATAAGGAATTCTGGATGGGGAGGGGGGCATGGAATGGGGCACCGGAGTAGACGGTGGGGAATTTGGAATTGCATGGGGTGGATGAGCAGTAGATCCGGGGCGAGAGGCCCCAGGGCCATCTCCTCTTGCATAAACAAGTTCTCTCTGCATCTGAAAAGAAAACAAAGGATTAGAAAGTTGACTTTGATACTCATGTTTCAAGAGAAGTCTCAGTGTGTAACTGTGTGGCTCCCCTGCAAGATGTACACACCCTCATCCTGGAATCTGTAAATATGTTTCCCTACATGGCAGAAGAGGCTTTGCAGATGGGGTGGAGCTAAGGATGGTGAGATGGGAGATCTTTATCCTGGTGGACTCGAGGCAATCACAAGGGTCTTTATACGTGTAGGAGGGAGGCAGAGAAATCAGCTCCAGGGGAGATCTATGATGATAAAAGTCGAGTTAGAAGAGTTTGGAAGGTGCTATGAGAAGGGGCCATGAGCCAAGGAATGTGGGCAGCTCCCAGAAGCTGGAAAAGGTGAGGAAATGGATCCCGCTCTGGAGCCTCCAGAGGGAGGGTGATCCTGCTGACACATTGATATTGATGTGCAAAATCCACTTGGGACTTCTGATCTCCATAAAAGTAAAATGATACATCTATGGTGTTTTAAAAAATTATGGCGTTTTGAGCCACTAAATTTATGGTAACTTGTTACAGCACCCACAAGAAATGAATACACCTGATGAAGAGTGCAATTTTGTGGGGTTTCAGGAAAAAATAGTGTGGTGGCTTAAATTTTAATGTCACAGCTTCTTAGAGACGCTGCTTAATAAATGCAGGTCTAGTGTATCAATAGTGCTAATGTTGCCTCTTCTAAAACTTGTCCTGAGCACATTTTTCTACCTTTAGCCCTGGGAAATAGTAACCATGTTTCCCATCTTTCCAAGTGGATACAATCTAGGGAGATGAGCAGGGGGAAAGGAGATACATGGAGGAAAACCTGGAAGGTAAGTTTCATACATTCACCAACTCTTCACTTGAGCCTATGATAAATCAGCACGGAGAGGCTGGAAGGAAATAATGAAGCAATAAGAGTACCATGGCAGTGGACCCTTGAAGAATACAATTTTGAACTGTGCAGGTCGACTTATTCACAGATATCCTTCTTCCCCTGCTACTCCTGAGAGAGCAAGGCCAGGCCCTTCTCTTCCTCCTTCTCACCTATTCAACATGAAGTTGACGAGGATGAAGACTTTTATGATGATCCACTTCCACTTAATAAACAGGAAACAGATTTTTTTTCTTCCTTATGGTTTACTTAAGAACATTTGCTTTTATCCAGCTTACTTTATTGTGTGAATACAGTATATAATATATATAACATACAAACTATGTGTTAATCGACTATTCATGTCATCTGTAAGTATTCTGGTCAGCAGTAGGCTGTAAGTAGTTAAGTTTGTGGGGAGGTAAAAGTTCTGCGCGAATTTTTTTTTTTTTAGATGGAGTCTTGCTCTGTCTCCCAGCGTAGAATGCAGTGGCGTGATCTCAGCTCACTCACTGTAATCTCTGCCTCCTGGGTTCAAGTGATTCTCCTACCTCAGCTTCTCAAATAGCTGGGATTACAGGTGTGGGCCACCATGCCCAGCTAATTTTTATATTTTTAGTAGAGACTGGGTTTCATCATGTTGGCCCGGCCGGTCTCGAACTCCTGACCTCAGGTGATCTGCCTGCCTCGGCCTCCCACAGTGCTGGGATTATAGGCATGAGCCACTGTGCCTGGCCTCTACACAGATTTTTTATTTTATTGTTTTACTGTGTGTGGGCAGTTAGCATCCCTAACTCCCACCTTGTTCACTGGTCAACTGTAATTTGCAACTATGCTACTGTGTTTAGCAAGGGAGTAGAATGAAAAATACAAACTAATTCAGGATATGATTATTTCATATATTTTTGCTTTGGTCAAGGTGCCACGGGGAAATGCCCACTGAGATTCTCCAAATAACTGAGGGAAGGAGAGACAAGCTCCACCCATTCTTCAAGTTCTATTGGTGAGGTCACAGGAGCCCACAGTCCCTATCCTGACTTCCAGGAGATGTGACAGACAAGAAGAGTATAAATGGATGGAGGGTGGATAAGGTAGGGACCTGAGGAGAGAAGTGGGGGCTCGAATGGCAAGAACCAAGATTAGCAGCCAAGAGACCCCATGATGTGGGTGACGTAGATGAGAGTAGGGATAGTAGAGGCACCAGGAGAAGGTTGAAAATGAAACAGAGCCTAATGCACAGGATACAAATTAACTGCTTCTTTATCATAAAAACTCATTGCATGTAGTAAAGGGTATTTACCAAGCACTTGGTAAATGCCTGGCATTATTCTAGGATGTAGTTCTAAACAAGCCCCAAGCTCCACGGAAACTCCCAAGCGCCATGGAGAGGGCACCTTCTTTCTTAAACTTCGTAGATGCTAATGCAGGAACAACCAGTGGGACTCCCACGGCTTCCTAATCTTGTTCCTGGAATGATCCAGCAGTGTAGAATCCCTGCCCTGTCAGTTGTACATAGAGAAGTGGATTTCATAATGAAAGTGACCAATGAGAAGTGCAAATAAGGTGTGAATATGTAGCAACAAAATGGAGCCCTTTTTGAATACATGACCTGGGCACTGCAGAATTGACCTCTTGGCTCCTGTAGGGGCTATTTCTGGGCCCCCTGGAGTTTGCAGACTCCTCCCTCACAATCACAACTTTATCTCCACTTCCCCCTTATTCCCCTCCCAAGACGCACACACAGAGCTCCCACTATGATAGGCTAATCTGTTCTCCCTTCCCTAAACCTAACTTGTGATATGCTGATGCTGTCCAGGGTCTCTCTCCTCATGTCCTAGTTCCTGTGGATCCATACCTAGGTTTGTGGTCAGGCTCCAGGTGCGTCTGCTCTGCATGGCCCCTGCCCTGATGCTCCAGCCCATGAGGTCCTCCCTGCTCACTGGACACCCTCATGACTCAGGTGCTCAGTGCTTTAGACCAGAAGGGACAGTCCCAAGGTCATTGTGTGATAATACACCTGATTGATGCTCATTCCAGGGAGGCTGAGCAACCCCGTGACACAGGTTTTGCAGGAGAGCAACACGGATCCTCTATAAATACCTCTCTCACTCTGCCTTCACAATTCAGAGCCCAATAAAAAGCAATGTATGGCTCAGCAGGAAGCAGCACAGGGCTTCACAGGTCATAAAATACAGGAGGGACTGGCTCAGTGAGCAGCGGATATCTGGGCAAATTCCCCACATAATCAGATTACACAATGCAATAACCAACCAAAACCAACATCGAGATAAATTCATCACATCGACTCAAACATGCCACTGTTTATAAAACATTACATGGTGTCCAAGGCAAATCACATACAACAAATGGTAGGTACTGTTGTCATTATTGTTATTAATTCCAGAAAAATATTTAAAATATGTAGAACTGTCTGGGCACAGTGGCTCAGGCCTGTAATCCCAGCATTTTGGGAAGCCGAGGCAGGTGGATCATCTGAGGTCAGGAGTTCAAGACCAGCCTGCCTAACATGGCAAAACCCCCTCTCTACTAAAAATATAAAAATTAGCTGGGCATGGTGGCGTGCGCCTGTAGTCCCAGCTACTCGGGAGGCTGAGGCAGGAGAATTGCTTGAACCCAGGAGGCGGAGGTTGCAGTGAGCCGAGATAACACCACTGCACTCCAGCCTGGGTGACAAAGTGAGACTCCGTCTCAATCAATCAATAAAATATCTAGAAGCCACTTTGTATGAACAACAGTCATAACTAGGTCAATCACTATTCCCCGTTCTCTTTTCCTTCCTTGGCCACCTTCAGAATACATCTTGATCTGGGGGACTATGACCTCAATTAACCAGCAGAAACTTTCCTCTTTTTGGCAGGAATATAAAAAGGGACATTAAGATTCTAGGGGCTGGGTGCAGTGGCTCATGCCTATAATCCCAACATTTTGGGAGGCTGAGGTGGGCAGATCACTTGAGGCCAGGAGTTTGAGACCAGCTTGGGCAACATGGCGAAACCCCATCTCTACAAAAAATACAAAAATTAGCCAGGCGTGGTGCATGTGCCTGCAATCCAGCTTCTCAGGAGACTGAGGCACAAGAATTGCTTGAGCCTAGGAGGCAGGGGTTGCAGTGAGCCAAGAATGCACCACAGTACTCCAACCTGGGAGACACAGCAAGACTCTCTGTCTCAAATAAAATAAAGTAAAATAAAATAAAATATTCTAGGGAATATAGAACTGTCCAGAAGGATAAAGAATATTAGTAAAAAGAAAATGTAAAATTTATTTATATTCATAAAAAGTTGAGTACATGTCTTTGAAAACAGCAAAGGTATTTACATAGGCATTTTAAAAACATGCTTGGTGACGTGCAAAAAATGGTTAGAAGATATATAAATAACCTTTAAAATGAAACACTTAAAGATCTAATTAGAAAGAGTATCTCATTAGATTTTCTAGTGGTATGTGTAGATGAGATTAGAAAGAAATATAACAATTAACTTAAAGTAATTCTAATACATTATATTGGACATTCATGTGGGAAATGTCAGTGATAGTCGAAATATTTGACAGCTAATATCCAGTATGGCATGGACACCAACCAACCAGAATGGGACTTCAGCCAATGAGGATGGATGCTTGCCATGAACAGTCAGCATCCTGGATCTGGAGCTAATCCTGTGTGTCTTCCCTGCCCTGTCCACTTCAAAATAATCTTGCCATCATCCAAAAGGGTCATCAAAAGAGTCATCGTCAACCTGAGTTGTCCACAGTGGCACTGAATACAAACATTCGGTTATGACGGAATTGGTAATCTGAGGTTGAATGTCTCTATCAACACAGGTGACTTAGATGTTGGAAGTCTTGGCAGAATTCTTATGTTGGTTTGCCAAGCTATGACTGACTTTCCAAAACGGAGATTTAAAAAGAACCAGGATCATGTATTTCATCCTCGGCTCTAAATAGAGCCCAAGAAGAAAAATGACACAATGATCATTTTATAGAGTGGGAAAATTTGTTTTAAAACCACAACTAGAATGAACCCTTACGATCAGACAACTTGGGAATCCTACTATAAAAGACGGGGAGCAGCCTAAGGCGACCCACTCTTAGGATGTGGGGGAAGGTAAGGGGACATCACTGGAGGGATGTTTTCAAGTCTTCAGTGTGATTTCCAAGGTCACACTTACAATAAAAAGTAGCATTTGGAGACTCCAGAATCTGATAGACTAAAGCAGCGTGATGGTTAAGATTGTATAATTCACAATTTAAAACAAACCCAGCCTTTGATGCGGGTGTTCTTACTAAGGAGAGATCTTCCTAGAATCTGTCACCAACACAGATTTATTTTGTTTTGGTTTTTAACTGTTACTTTGCTAATGAGTAAAGACATGGCATTAAATACATACTGGATTTTTCCTGCACTGGTACTCAAAGTCAGACTTTGTGGGAGAAAATTATACTAAACTGACAAGTAAAATAAATAAGCAACACACACACACACACACACACACACACACACACACACACAGTTGCCATTCACATTAATATATCTTAGTCCCTTATTCTACCACTGATCTTTCTGATGCTACTAATCTTATCATCTCTTTTCCCTTAGTGAGTTTAAAGTAACTAGCTATGTTCTATCATTGACACTTTTTCCCCACAGAATTTCAACACTAATGTCAAAATGTAAGCTTTAAACAATTTCATTTTACAGCAAGAAAGAGATGACCGACACAGAGAAATAAAGATTCTTTCAGCCCCTTTTCTGAATACAACACAGATACCTATTTGCCGTGTGCACCTAAGCCCCGACACAGAAAATGTTCATTCACCTGCCCTAGATATAATGTATGAACAAGACTGTTCCACCGCATTCATCTGCTCGGTTAGGCAGTGTCATTTCTTCTTTCCATCACTGCCCAAACCTCTATTGTCTCTTTGTTATTTGAGTCCTTCCAGTTCTTAGAAAGAGGGTAGTTTCTTCAAGAGCCTCATCATAATAGCAGGCTGAGAGGCTGGTGTCGCTGCCCACAGACTGCACACGGATCAAAATGCTGTTTACACCATACTTCCGAAACACCAGAAAGTATCTGGGGCCATTTCCTATTAAGATCTGAAGTCTGAGTTAGAAATTCTTACATGTAGCTATATTTTATTTCCCAAAAGTACCATAAGTCAAATCGAATATCACTCATTCAGAAGTTTCTTGAAGGTAAGATAAGAAACAACATATTAAAATTGTTTCCAGAAAACACAAAAAACCTAGTATAAAAGATACTTGTTTAAAATCATCTTGCGAAACTGCCTCATGTAATAATGTCTGTGGAGTATTAAAATATATATATGCGTGCGTGTGTGTGTGTGTGTGTGTGTGTGTATATATATATAGCTTGTGGAAAAGGAATATTATGTACAGTTTGTTGTATTTCAAACCCCACCCTTCCAAGTCTGGAATTTGTAAACATATCACTCAATCAGACCACACAGTGAAGTAAGCAGAGAAAACTGAAAAGGAATCTTATGACATTCTTTCACCCTCAAAGAATTAAAGCCACTTACTTTTTCTTAAGGAAATCACCTGTGTACCTAACGCCGTGAGTAAGCACATTCGCTCAGGTCCTGATTACATGATTCCTTTGTTTGCTGGCTTCATCTAAATCCTTGGTTCCACACTTGAATATTTTAGACAGCTTCCTCTTCAGAGACAAAATCATCACAAAAGACACAGAGATCCTAAAATGTTTCTCAGCTCGAGTGTTCACAACCAATAAAGACCATTTTGTAATACCCAGTTTTCAGAGAGAAGCTGACAGTGGTATGGATAAAAAGTAACCCTCCCCGTGATAAGTCAATTTCTCCTCCCCTTGGAAATTAGTCACTGAATAACCTCAGCCCACATCCAACCACAGGCTACCTCACGGGTGACTCAGTCCTTCAACAATTGCTTACAGGGAAAACACCAGTGAAGGAACTTTAAATGGCCTAGGTAAATGGGTTAACAGCAAAGGAAATATTACAAAATATATTTCACTGAAGGCAAACAGGATCATTAAAAAGGGCAAACAACCAGCCACCGAGAAATGAAACTGTCAGAAAACCCAACATATTCAATCCAGAGGAACCAACTTTCAGATCAGTTTTCTGTTGACTTAAAGGTGCTACTTAAACCTAGACCAGCACCTAACACCCAGTTTGCTACCAGACTTGAAGTCTGGGAATTGACAGCTGAAGGAAACATAAGCCTCTTCCCCTGGTTTAATACCAGAGGGAAAACATGAGGGAGATAAGGAAGCTGTCTATTAATTAACCAGCCCTGTTTTACCAAGCTGAACTTTGGGTAGCAGCCATTAATCAGTCCTACATAGAGCCGGGCAAGGAACTGCAATCACCCTGGAAAATACATCTGAAATGAGAAGGAAAGATAGAGAGGGCAAACCATGGCTGTGCAGAGGGGATTCTGGAAAGGAAACCAGAGCCCTCCTGCCCCACCCTAAACAAGATGAAGGACGAGAGGCAGGCGATCCCCAGAGACCTCTGGGTACAACCGCTGTCAGCACAGCCGGTCTCTTCCAGGGGAACAGGTACAAGAAGGTGCGTGTCCACAACACGAAGTGACTTGTGCAGCACTCAGCGGAGGACGGGAATTAATGCACTGCTAGCAAAAGGTCGGGGAGAAAGGAAGCACCTCCTGCGCTCACAGGCTGGCTCTGATCACCATCATGTTTTCTGGGCCCTTGGGGACTGGGTGGAACTGAAAGCTATCCAAGTGGGAATACGGTGACAAGGAACTCCACACACTGGACTGGAAGCCCCACTGGCTTCACGCCACACCCGACTACCACACTCTGGGCAGCCTGTGCATTTTAAAAACATTTTAAGGCTTTTAGAGGTTGTTCTTGCTGACCAAAAGAATTCCATGACGTCTTTCAAGTTCAAATCCAGTCCTTTGCAGGTTTTCTAAAAAAACTGTTTACTGCCATCAAATCGCTTTGTGGTTATTAAAGAAGGGGGCAAATGGAGCACGTAACATTGCCACCCTCCTAAGATGTCTCACTAGGAACGATATTTGGGTGAAGTGGTTGTAACAGATGCCACCTAAGAGGTCGGAAAACAGTAGAAGGAATGTGGAAGCTCTTGTTTTGATTTTTAATCTAATCAGCAAGGGTTTGTTATTTCTCACCAGAGTATGGGAGGCACACACTATCAGTTTCTGATGAATCTGGTACACATTAGGCAGGTTTTGTGTCTTCGGTCAAGCACATATGTTCCAGGAAGGGGGATGGAGGGGTGGTCCCCCTTGTCTGATTACGCCACGATGCTGCCCCTATCACATCCCCCAAAGACCCTGTTTTATGGCGTGAGGTATGCTAACAGACATGGCTCTTATAATTTTTCTTTACCTGCTTATTACGGGCAGGGTTGCTTGTTCCAGTGACTGTTTGTGAAGGGTCTGGGGTCAGGCTGTCCCCCAGGAAACAGAGCAGTGAACTCTCTCTGTATCTCTGCTGCTTGGCTAAGAAAGTCATGCCATGTTCAACATGTTATCCCACATCTGCTATGGGCTAGGTGCTATGTGGCTCACAGCTGTAATCCTAGCACTTTGGGATGTGGAAGCAGGAGGATTCCCTGAGCCCAGGAGTTTGAGACCAGCTTGGGCAACATAGGGAGGCCAAGTCTGTACAAAAAGTAAAAACTTAGCTGGGCATACTGGTGCATGTCTGTGTACCTAGCTACTTGGGAGGCTGAGGGGGGAGGATCACTTGAGCCTGGGAGGTTGAGAGGCTACAGTGAGCCAAGATCACACCACTGCACTCCAGCCTGGGTGACAGAGTGAGATCCTGTCTCAAAAAAAAAAAAAAAAGGCAACAAAACAAAAAACCACAAGAAACCTTGTTGATTACGCTAGAGAGAGGTGGCTTCTGTTGACCCTGTTACAATGAGAGTCGGTGGGTTCAATGCGAGAAGTCTGGTTTACCTCTGCCTTCCCTTCCTTCCTGCCAGGTTCACAGCAATTTCCTTTCACTTTCAAAATGCCCCAGGGCACTGTCTGTAGCATGCACGCATGGATTCGTCATTACCAGAGCAGTAATTCACTGTCAGGAGTTTGAAAGCCAGCCCAATCCTGCGGTGAATCAGGATGAGTTAAATGCTCTTTAGCAAGCACGGAGTTCACCCAAGAGAGAGGTGGAGCTCAATCTCCAAAGGCCCCAGAGTACCCGCTAATGCACCAGACAAGCCAATTTCCTAAACAATATTCTGGTGTCCTGGTGCCATCTAGGACCCAGTGGCTTAATCTCAGTGGAAGGCACATTCTCCAGAGAAGGGCTCGTTCAGGCTAACTCACCACAAAGTTTGGTTCAGTATGAGTGTGTGCAACCATTAACACCCCCACGCTTCGGTTTGATGACTTCACCAGACCCTTCTCTGCCTGCTCTACCTTGGGACATTACAGCCATTGCTACATTACTCTTCCCAGCAGCGTATAAAGTGTCCTACTCTTCATTTTCCCTCTTCCTTTCATTGACTAGGCCTAAAAGCAAAGTGAAAGCAATGTATTCTTTCTGAGTCAGTGTTAAGAATGGACATGCTAGGAAATATTCAGGATTACTTCAACAGGAAATAATTTTTATGCTCCGGTAAAGCCAATAGTATTGTGACACATATTCCTTCCTATTTTCCCTTTCATATTCATTTCTTCATTGGCTTTTAAAAAATTACATTTGCTCAAAGAAAATCTAAACTGCACCTGTAGATATGAAGATGATATTAGGAAGGGAAGGGATTATTACGTTGAAAAAATTTCAAATTCATCTTGTTTGCATTGGTAAAATTGGGAAGATTGCCATTTGTAAGGTTTTAGTTAGCCTATTGTTTCATTTGATTGTAAACGGAATGTCTCCCAGACATGAGGCAGACAGACAGACTGCTGCCAAAATTATTTAATTCCCAGGAAAGAGATGGTCCAGTCAGCGGTTAGCTTATGGCTATATTTAAGATGAGCGTTATTTCTATAAATCTTTTGACACAGGAACTCTACTGAGCCCTCCAGTGGCCAGACCTGGCTGACCAGTCCTGGGCCCAACAGTGATTAAAGATCTCAATCTGGAACAGAATAAAGAAGTAATGTTAAATAAATCATTTTGCTTCCAAGCCACAATCAATAACTGTGCAGTGCTGTAGGATGGATAAAAGAAAAATGTCCTTCTCACTGATACTCAATCTTCTGCTGGGCTACTCCTGTGTTCTCCAGGCCAAGGACAACCTTCTTTTGTACCGAAAATAGTTACAGTTTGTAAAATGATATCTTCTTTATACCACTTGCAACAGATGGTACAAATAACTCCTTCTCTTATCTCCATCTCTGCACATCCACCCATTTCCTGGACGGACCTTGTTCTTTTATGCACAACTCCCTTTCAATGTTTTCTAGATTGGATACTAGTAAGTTATCTACAGCACCCAACTACAATTTTTTAGTGCCTTAGACTTTATTTTTCTCTTTATGACAGTTCTTGAAACTCCTATTTAACTTGTCAACCACATGTTGCCATATAGGATATATTGCTTTATTTGCTTGTGACACTTCATATTCTAACAAGGGATTTTAAATCCCCGTGCTCACCATACCCCACCCACAAACACTCCAATAGTCACACAGCAGTTTTCAGTTTACAAAGGGCTCTCAATTGTGACATTTCATGGGCTCCAGAACTCAGTGAGAGACAGAGGACAGGTATCCTATGTCTTTTTGAATGGTTGGGAAACAGAAGTGCAGGGAGTTAAGAACCTCACCCAGCTTCCCATAGCTGCTAAGCAGTGAAGCAGCAAGAACCCCAGCTTCCTCGGTTGTTTGCGTGTGACCTGCTGTGCACTTCAGCACACTGCGAGCTATTCTGCAAAGAATGATGCTCCTCATGCCTACCCATGCATGATCACTGACGGATTCCTTATTCGATTTCTGGCCTTGGCGTCAAACACGAACAAGTCTGTCTGAGAAGTGCCTCACTCCATTCACCGGTCCAGATTTTCACAGCAAAGGAAAAGAATCACTGGGGCATCTCAATGGGCTTCAGCTCTAATGATTTAGAGCCTCTCTTGACTTACAATTAGGTTTTATCTACTTGCCTCAAAATGAGTAAGTTACACAATTAGTTATATATTAGTTATATTTAACTAAGACATATCAGTATATATGCTTATATATATTATACTTATATATACCTATCTATATTATACATCACTCAGTATTATATAGATATCCCCATATCACATAAGTTATATATACATATACACATATGTGTATGTACACATATGTACATATAAGCTATATATATGTATACACATATGTGTATATACACACAGACACATGCACAAGGTCATCATCAGTCACAGGCACCAGATTATTTATAAAATAAAATATCTGAGCCTTAGCTGATTAAAATCCCTTACCATTATGACCCTAATTCTATTATGGGGTGACATTCCCAGGACCACGCCCCTCAGAGATGCATGCACCGCCCATAGAGGCACAGGGTCTCCATCGCTGCCCTCTATGCCCTTCTTTCTTTTCACTGGAGAGACTGACCAAATTGATTATATTGTGAACAAAAATAGCTAGCTAGAGCATTATATAACTTTAGGATGATTACAACAACGTGAGAATTAAAATGTATACATATTTTAGCTTGATGATATTAACATACCTAAATTTACACAATGAGGTGATGTTGATCTGTGTAGAATTTTATGCTGTACAGCCGGGTGCAGTGGCTCACATCTGTAATCCCAGCACTTTGGGAGGCCGAGGTGGGCAGATCACCTGAGGCCAGGAGTTCGAGACCAGCCTGGCCAACATGGTGAAACCACATCTCCACTAAAAATACAAAAATTGGCAAGGCATGGTAGCACACACCAGTAATCCTAGCTATTCGGAAGGCTGAGGCAGGAGAATTGCTTGAACCTGGGAGGTGGAGGCTGCAGTGAGCCAAGATTACACTGCTGTACTCCAGCCTGGGCAACAGAGCAAGACTCTGTCTCCCCCCACCCCACCCCACCAAAAAAAACCAGAATCTTATGCTCTATAACTGCAGTTTAAAGGATAGATATGAAAACAGCTAGGTAGAGTGTTATATAGCTTTAGGATGGTTAGAACATGAGAATTAAAATGTATATATATTTTAGTTTGATGATATGACATACCTAAACTTAAACAATGAATCGATGTTGATCTATGTAGAATTTCATGCTATACAATTGCAGTTTAAAAGATAGATGGTTTTCAGAGCCCATGAGAGTAAATGGTGGTAAACACATTGGGGAATGGCAGATGTCAAGTTGGAAACCATATGGCCATTTATTCGTGGTCTGTCAATGTCTTCTCACAACGGAGCTACTCAAATCCCAGGATGTCTGTTTCTGTAATAACTCCTTTCTCCTGGCCTCATGTGGTCTCAGCTTCTCACTACCAATTGCTCCCTAGTAGGTTTAACCCCTTCAGGCCTGTCTCATGTCTCCCTTCACTGTTCCTCCTTCTTAGATCACAGCTTTTCTGAAACCAACTCTGTGGACCTAGGTTACCGTCTTAGCCCTTCTACAGGAACCAGATTCCATTGCCTGCATTCTGCTATGTTCATATTGATCTCAGTAGGATTTGTGTAGGTTCTATTACCAAGCAAAAGAAAAAACAGCACAAGGTGAGCTGTATCTGTGGAGCAAATTTTAAAAGGTGTGTTACGGATGACTTCTGATGAAAGGTGTTTTAGTTGTGCCATTACTCTGATCCTCAGCCGAACAACATCAGCCCATGTGTCAAGAGAAGAAAGGATTGTCTGAGGGAACAGTCCCAGAGGGTAACACTACAAGACAATAATTCATAGATCTGCCAGGTTCAATTTTTCCTCAAAATAAACATGAAAAAAACAATGATGGGGACCCAGATTAAAACAGCCCTCGTGCCAATTCTTCCTGGGTTCCGAGGAGCCACCTCCTCCACTGTGAATGCCCCACTGTGAACTTTTATTCAAAAATAAAAGAAGTTCCATGGGTATCCTAGGTGTACTGAGTGTGCAAGCAGGGGAAATTCTCGCGTGTAAGGCTAGGAGTTGATGCCATTTGTTACACAATTTTATAGGCTTATGAATGAAAAATGTGTACTTTCCCAGTTTTCATTAGTTATGAAAAAATCTAAGAGGTTCTAGGTTTATAAATTAGATGACAATAGCTTTGAAAACCCATCTGCTTTCCTTGGGTTTAGTTGGAGTCTGTGGCAGAGAACACGAGAGCACCTGCTAGTTTGGGGGCCAGGCCAGCGGCTCTGAAAGCCCCCAGGTGCGTTTCCCCACAGTCGGCGCAGCAGGGTGATGGGGGAAGAACACCAGACGGGGAATCCCAGAACCAGCATTCTGGTCCAGGTGTTAATATTGTTTTCTTTCTTTTCACTTTTTTTAGTTTTAAAGAGACAGGGTCTCATTCTGTTACTCAGGTTGTAGTGCAATGGTGTGATCATAGCTCACTGAAGCCTGGAACTCCTCGATTCAAGTGATCCTCCCAACTCAGCCTGCTGAATAGGTAGGATTACAGGTGTGCACTACCACACCTAGCTAATTAAAAAAAATTTTTTT